GTTACAAAGCTCCCTTTCGATGGACTAAATCATAATTTCTTCTAGATAAGGTACACTTAGAGCTTTAGGGGAATTAGCATCACATCAGACAAACTGATATCATGAGGCCATGGGGCAATGGGCTTCTTCAAAGTTCCTTCCACCACTGGGTGGACATCATTTTCAAAAACTTAAAAAAAAAGCAAAACAAGAAACAAACAAACAAAAACCAGTTTCACTCTATAGCCCAGGCTAGCTTCAAACTCTGGATCCTATGTGTTGGTATAGCTCAACATCCCAAGAACTGACATCGCATTAACGATCACTCAGCTTAACAACTGTCTAATTAGTTAGATCAGTGGTTCTCAACCTGTGGGTCATGACCCCTTTGAAGGGGTCACATTACTGATTTCCTGAATATCAGACATCTACATTACAATTCCTAACAGTAGCAAAATTACAGTTATGAAGTAGCAATGAAATGATTTTCTGGTTGGGGGTCACCATGGCATGAGGAACTGTATTAAAGGGTTGCAACATTAGGAAGGTTGAAAAGCATAGATTTAGGTGAAATTGGACAAATTTAGAATGGTATGGCCCTAGACCAACTGATTATTTAGACCCACTAAGAAAACAATCTGTTCTAAGGATGTATGGAAATTTGAAAACAAAAACAAAACTCCAAACTCATGAGGGAGGCTAATAACATTTTGTGAAGATTATTTTGATTAAATCTGAGTCTATTGGAACTAAAATGTAGAGCTGGCAACTCTAAGTTAAATACCAATTCAAGCTTTTTGTTTTAAAGCCCTCAGTGGTGATGGTGAGCCTATGGTTATACCAAGTATTTGCAAGCCTGTTTCAATTAGAATAAGAATTAAGAGTGACATCACAGATTTAGCTTGCCCACTGGATATCTGCTTGTAGATGGGTCAGCTAGAACAGAATGTTTGCTTTCCTTAGTCAGTAAAGGACTAGGGCCATCTACTGTGTCCATTGCAGGGGTGAAGCCTTGCTCTATAGCTTGAGCACAATTTGGGGTAGCTGACCTTCGTTTCCGGTCTCCCCCTCATCCGTAAGGAGCTGGAGGCAGATGCCATGTGCACTTTCTTCATGGCTCTTCTTGCCTCTGCTTCTAGCTTTGTCTCTGGCCTGGGATGATCATGCTCTCCTTTGGACTTGGGAGAGACAAAGTAGTAAGAAGGAAACAAAAGTTAGTAACTGAATTACCCTTGAGAAGGTGTAGCTTTTGTTCTCTGTGCTGTCCTCTCTTGTGACCAGGGGTTAGTAAGGTTGCCGCTGCAACAGAAACTCTTCCCAAGTCCACTTGTGCTCCTGCCTGCCTCCTGTCCTATGAAGCCCCTTCCTGATGTGATCTCTGACTCCCGTCAAGTCCCCATAGTGTGTGCTGGTGATGTTCACCCCGTTACCTCAGCTCTGGCTTACAGACTTCATCACTTACATACATACTGTTAGTTCTCAGTCCTGCTTACAGAATAAGGACCTGAGGCTTAGAGGAAGGATGCCATTTGGATAATCTCCTTTAGTCAGCAGGGTCCTTGGGTGTCCACAGCCAAGCTGGGAGCCCAGTGGGAGACATTCAGTACTTGTGTGAGCTGGCCTTTTAAGTGGCTGGTAGTTAGAGTTCAGCCTCTGTGGGAACAGCTACATCACAGCTTGGCAAATGTTTTAGAAATGTCTTTGAAAAGCTGGTTTGCCAATCTTCCACTGGTTTTGCCAATCTGACATCAGAGCCCAGTCTTCATCTGTTTACATCCAGGCCCCGTTAGTGTTTCTTACAAATCTTGCAGAAAGCTGGGATTTTGAGGAGGAATCAAATTGTTCTTTGTATGCAGAACAAGTACTGAATCAGCACTGGAACCCAAGCTGGGGTTTGCGGAAGGCTACGGGCAGGCTGAATGCTGTTTGCTCTGATCTAGGCATGCTCAGTCAGGCGTCACCCCTCCCCAGGAGTGGAGGCACTCAGCCTTCCTGGGTTTCCAGTGTTCCACCTCTGGTGAAGTAGGGCATGTGGGCATTTGCTCCCCCAGAGGATGGGCACGGTATCGTTTAGCCCTGTACCCAAAACCACTGAAAATTCCTCTATATTAAATATGATAGACAGCAGCCACATGAAAGAGAAGCTGAGTAAATAACTGGAATCCAACCTGGAAAAAGATGAAGCGTCCGTCATGCCTCCAGAAGTTCGTGACTGGGAAGCCGCCATGACCTCGACAAGGAATGAGCTTCAGGGGCCCATTGCAGTTAGGACAGCTTTTCTCTACAGAGGAAGCAATGACAGCAACTGTTGGGCCTCGGCAGAAGAGGCTGCACTTAGACCTACTGTGACTGGATGTCCTAGGACAGGCCGGTACTCAAGGTGTCTGTGTGGGGGACTTCCCTTCTCTGAGGACAAGGGGAATGGCTAATGGGAGGGATTATAAAGGTGAGACTGGGAATAGAGGAGGGAGGGAGCCTACCATCAGAATGTAAGAGAATTAATTAGTTAATTTAAAAAAAGAAAGAAAGAAACTGACTATGCCACATGGGCTGATTCTGAGTTTGGGGTGCCCTACTGGCTTTCAGCTATGATTCCAGGATAGTGGAGAGAGACCCTTCACAGTTGCAGGAACTTTCTTCTGCTGGATTTTACCCATGACTACAGCATTCTGTCTACCAATGGCCAGCTGGGATCATACAAGGACACAGTCAACAGCTGTCTGACAAGTGGGATTGTTTTACAGGTCAAAGCATTCTGCAGAGCAGAAGGCTTCTCTACTTACTTACAAATATTAAGTATTCTTTATATAGAGAAGTATTTAATTTTATGATTAGTAACAAGACTTAAGGAGAGAGAACACTGTCCCTGAAATTTCACCACGTTGTAAATGATGGAGAGGAAATTTTGAAGACACATGACTAGGAAAAAAACATAAGTAACTGGAGGGGGAAAGTGAGTTAGGCACAGGAAGCTAGAAGCATCTGTTTCACAGTCCAGAGAGTACGATAAAAGAAAGAGCTAAGACTTCCATGGGTAGTTAAGGCATGAATCTGAATGGACAAAGCTGAGTTTACAAATTTAGTCCTGCTGTGCTACTCCTGAAGAATGTGTTCACTGGGATCTCCTGGGACTTGGGGCAGGTAGCAAGTCTTAACTTATTTCTCCTGAACTTTTCACGAGTTAATCTCTTTTCAAAGCAATGGGGACACTCATGAGGGAGCTCTGCATGTGACAGGTCTTGAAGACAGACGGGCCCCCCCCCCCCGATAGGTGACTCCTCCTCAGAGAGTTCCCTATCAGAATACCTTGCCTGCCATGGAAATCTAGTGGGAAGGTTCGCTGGGCCCTTGGTACACGTTTTAGCTAGAGCATCTAAGCAGACTCTCAGTCTCCCTGGCTGCTGACCCCAAACCTCACTCACTCTGCTGCTTCTGCCTGGCTTTGTCACAGATGGCGGGTCTCAGGTAAATCTTGCGGCCTTCCTCAGTGGAACAGTCCCTGCTGCACACTACTACCCCCAGGCACGACTTCTTGAGGATCCGGGAGTTGTGGTTGTTGGTGTTGCGCATCGCCCAGCTGCTCAGGTGGCGTTGTGCGTTCCTGTCGTCTGAGCTGTAGATGTGTTTCACATAGGAGTCTGGCCACTCCTGGAACCAGTCAGTCCTTTTCACATTCTGACGGAAACACAAAGATTTTTGTTACAGTTTCATGCAGAGTACCTACTGGTCTGCCTCTGTAGAGTTGATAGATGTAAGAGATATCTGGGCCACAGGGACAGAGCAAAAGCCCTTTAGTAAAGCCTTAACCAAATTTAATCCTGGTGGTGTCATCTGTGAGCACAAATGCTTCTCAAGCGTCATAACTCTGCAACTCTTTAAAACAGTTCTCACGTTATGCTGAAACTCCCCTCCTCCAACCATAAAATTATTTTTATTTCTACTTCATGAATTAATTTTGCTCTGTTATGAATTGTAAATACTTGTGTTTTCTGATGGTCTTGGATGTCCCCTGTGAAAGGGTCTTTTGGTGTGAACCACTAGCAGCACACTAGTGACAAATGTCTGCTGTCTATCAAGCACTGGTCACTACACTAAGATGAGATAGAATTTAGCTCTTCTGAATTCTGCTGTTTCTGCAGCCTGTAGTGATAACAGTAATGGCCTCTTCTCAGCAAGAATTTTTGAGTGAAGTAATCTCACCAGGCACTTACATAATAACTATGAAAAGCATAGCAAGATGATGTCTTATACCACACTGTTTAATATTAGGTATCACAAAGTCACCAGAGATAGGTAATGCAGAGCTCTGGTTCAAAGAGGTCTGGAAGCACACTTTTTCCTCTGTGGACCGTTTCCTTGTTTTTCTCTACTGCTCAGCTGTGCAGAGGACTCAGGATGAGTCTGTGCAATTAGATGCCCGGTACTACCCTATTCCCTGCACATGAGCATCTGATGGGACTCTGTTGTTCAAGGACAGAGCAGTGGTTCAGTCAGCCTCGAGCTCCAATTCAGGAAAAGAAACAGCTCTAGAGGCTGGTTAACAGCCTGCTGTGTCCTGGTGGCTACTCCTGCACTGTCAAAACAGTTACGAAAACAAATTTCATGTTAAGTTTTGAACCACCATGAAATCATACCATAAAGAAGTCCTGAGGGCATACGTTACTTTGTTTCCTATTCTGTTTCTGCATGTGTGAACTAGGAGTGATGAGACTTTTCTACTTCAATTCTGAAGATTAAATATTATGAATGTAAAATGCTTGCCACATAGCACCTAGCAAGCTGTAGGCTGTAAATAAATGGAGTCACTGGGTGTGGCTTATATTCCCAGTCTCTACAATGGTGGCAGATGCTTCAGGTGGCAGATCCTGCCAAGCTCTTAGGATGAGAACAATCTTAGTTTGACTCTGCCCATCATCATGACTCTCAGAGACCTGACATAAAATACGAACAGTTTTCATTTAGAAAATTCTCAAAGGTCATGGTAGAGGATTCTGGAAAAACCAGGAGAAAAAAAAAAAATCAAGGTACCAATCCTTTGCTTTCCCAACAAGAATATATAGCACAGGACATTAGTTAGCAAAGCCTAGGAATGTCTGAAGGCAAACATCCATGTCAGGATGGACGAGCATTCCCTCGGTTAGATGTCCACCCAGGAGTGTGTTGCTGGAGGCACCCCTGCAGCCCAGCAGTCAAATGCAGTCCTTCCCTACCAGAAGGCGCAGCCAGGGAGAATGTGCCTCCATCATTCCCACTCCTACTGGGCATCCTGGCCACTGTGGCCTCGTATTGTTCAGTGTCCACCTGAGAATCTCCGTATAACCTCAACACCTACCTTCTCTCTTTTCTTCCTGTTCATTGACGTTCTAACCACTGCTCTCCAGCTTTCTCTCAAAGGAGAGCATAGCAGAATATTTTTGCTTTGCTTTATTTATTTTATTTCATGATTATGTGTTTGTGTGGCGGGAGGTACGTATGTGCACATGAGTGCAGGTACCCAGTGTGGGTGCTGGAAACTGAATCCCAGTCTTCTGCAAGAGCAGCAAGGACTCCTAATCTCAGAGTTATCCCTCCAGCTACAAGTATGCTATCTTCGAGATACTTAAAATACAGATTAAAACACTAAAATGTATGCTTACCTTTACTTGTTTGAACTATAAAGGATTGGTGGATTTGTATTATTCTAATGTGGCATACAGGTATCAAGATAGGAGAGACAAGGGCAGACATTTAGAGGAAAGTATAGATTTCTATGAGAGAGTCCCACCCACCTACTCCCACCCTAGCTGGTCAGAACTACAAATCCCATGAGCCAGGAGGGGTGAAATGTATGGTGAGAGCACCTCTGACATTCTGACTAAAGCAAAACCTTAATGGGTGTGAAGGAGGAAGTGATTCTCAACATCTTTGAGGCTATTCCCCTAAACCCCTAGTCTGTAGTTCCAGTAGTTTGTAGTACGAGGAACCTCCCACAGGGAGAGGTGAATGTGTGAAGCTGTGAATGCAGGAAGCTCTTCTCTTGGCTGTTGCTTATTTATTTTGTCATTTGCCTGGACGTTAAGTGGAATCTTTGGCAACTTTTTACATTAAAGTGGGCGGGGTGGTGGGTCCAGATGTTGGAATGTTCAAGAACTAAAGGAGCAAGAGGAAGGCAGCTCTGAAAGCCCTGGTAATTTGCCCCTGGAAATCTAGTTTTAAAATCAAGAACGCTGCTTCTAAGCCTTGCTAGCAAGTCCCAGGAAGTGGTACCTTCCTTTTAGAACCTTCCCTAATTTAATTTCTAACTTTTCATAAAACACTTTCTTCTTTTTAGACACTGTGTTTATTTTAATTTCTAACTTTTCATGAGTAACTCTTTGTTTTGGCTCTTGGTTAAGAAGTTTATAATTGAAAGAGGACACACTTAAGTTCTCCAACATGTCACATCGAACACATTTGTACTTTTATCATCTCCTGGGTAGCATCATTAGGAATGTAATTGATATTTCTATGACTTCTCTGCACAATTTAATTCTATAATTTACTCAATCAGTACCCTTTAAACTATATGAAAATACAGGGCACTCTGTATATGACCTTCATTTTAATTTAATTTAGTTATTTGTAGTTTTAATAGACTATCATAAAATTACATGTTACTGTTATACAAAACGAATAAAATCAGATTCGTAAATTAGGTATCAAAACATTCACGGAATGAGCTAGGAAATGTGGGTTTTGTCTGTAACTCTAGCATCGGGGCGGCTGAGCCATAAGGATTGCTTTTATACCAAAGCCAGCCTGGATTACACTGTGTGAGACCATCTCAAAAATAAAAAGAAGAAAAGGAAAAGGAACCCAAATTTTACATCATGTTATTACATTAAAATTAATTTTCATTCTTAGAATAGTCTACTCTTTATAGGGCAGTTCCCTCCCAGCATAACTAGTTTATTAATACTATACACGACGTATCTCCAAATAGAACAAGGACATCAAACACACTCACAAACCAAACGAGGGCCCATCTAGTCCAAGTGACAGAATCACAGTGTAGCTAAGGCTGGCCTTCTGCTAGAATCACAAGAATACCACCACACTATACCCCGCTTTTCTCTTTTTTTTTTCTTTTCTTTTTTTTTTATATATAATTTATTTACTTTTTTCAAACAGACATTTTAAGCTAATCTGGTAAAAGATAAGATGTTACTTACTAAAACAAAACAAAAATGTAAGTCAGGCTTGGTGACGCACACCTTTAATCCCATCGCTAGTAAGAGGTAGGCAGATCTCTTAAGAGTTCAAGGCCATCCTGGTCTACATAGGAAGTTCCAGGCCAGCCAAGGTTACACAGTAAAACCCAATAACAACAAAGGAAACAAAATATACTGTCATTTTGACCCTATGGGTAATGTTTTTGGAGTGATTTTGCCTCTTCTGAGTTGCCTATAGGTGGATGGAATTCTAAATGTCTTCAGGAGTCAACAAATGTCTTTGCACCAAAAATTGTTCTCTAGAGTAACCCTGCTACTGTCCACCTGAGGAATGACTGTTCAAAAGGATATTTCTGGTTTTAGTTATCTTCCTGAGTTTTACCAGCCTGAGAGCTTCCCTGTAAACAACTTTTTACCTGTTCCCTAACAGCAAAGGGTCTATTTCTAGAGCAAAAGTGTGCATGATGACTGTGGATTTTCCTGTGTGGTGGCCTAAAGACACAGGAATGCTTTGGAGTTTGGAAATCCATGCCAGAACAGGAGCTTTTGGGCCTTGAGCTTCCTTCCAGGGAGCTGATGAATGATATGATGATATGACCCTCTGTCTAGGAAAAATATGTGTGCATTTGTGTGTGTGTGTGTGTATGTGTGTGTGTGTGTGTGTGTATGTGTGTGTGTGTGTATGTGTGTGTATGTGTGTGCATGTGTGTGTGTGTATGTGCATGTGTGTATATGTGTGTGTGTGTTTTCATTTTCTTTTTAAGGCCAGCCTTGTGGACACTCCCTTTCTCTGCCTCCTAAGTGGGAGAATTATAGGCATACACCACCACGCTTGGAAAAAATGTATGTCAGCACACATGGCAGCTCTGCCCCCTGCCCTCCATTTACAAGTTCCTTCATATCTGCTGACCTCAGTTCTCAATATTATCACCAGCTCACATTCTGGAGGGGGGAGGTGCAAGCATGAAATTAAAAATAGGGAGAAATATGGACCATTGAGCCAATAGTGATTAAAGTTTACTCTAAAGTTTTCCTAAGACAGCTGCAACAATTGCAGTACAAGTCAACTTCCAGCACAAGTCCTGAAAATGGATGTTTGCCTGGCTTGGTGACAAATGGGTAGATTTTCCTGTCTTCCAGCTGTCTCACACCCACCAAAGGACTCAAGGAGAAATTGAAGGAAACCAAAGAGAAACAGAAGAGTGTCCATTACCATGAGAACCCAGAAGTTCATTACCAGTGAGCTGATACTGGAGTCCCTAACCCCTCTGCCCTGCCCAGGACAGACTGGAGGATCAACTGTTTCAGTATTTGGTACTAGTAGACTCCAGGTTTACTAGTCATAGTCAGATGTCTAGTAAAAGTATCTTTAGACACCAGGAAGAGAGGACAAGACAGGAGTGATAGACACAGAAACTTGTAATGCTTTCCATCAAATTAGAGTTCAGAGATTATTTGCTAGTTGGGCTTGTGATTCCAGCACTTGAGAGGCAGAAGCAAGAGGATTGTGAGTTCAAGGCAAGTTTGAGTTCCTTTGGGGATTTAAGGCCAGCTTGGGCTGCTGGGTAAGACCTTTTCCCCTCTCCATCCTCATGATTTCTTGCACATGCACACATACCACAGCTATTTGGAAAGAGCCCAAGAGTGTGACAAGCAAAACACTCCTGGGTAAAGTAGGGACCAGCCAATGAACCCACAGATGGTAGTTCTGTAAGTCCCTCAAGAGCAGCCTGTGACCTCCAAGGGCACCACTATTCAGATAGTCCAGTGTCAGGGTTAACTGTTAAAGGTACTACGGTAAAGAAGGTGCTATGGGATCTTATGCCTTATGAGGAGTCAGTCAGTCCGCTGACAGGTACTGAGTGTGTGAACTGAGTGAGCCAGCTTTGAAAGGGAGGAAGCAATGCTTTCTTTGACTCTGTCTGTTCTTGGGGTGTCAAACCCTAGGCCTTACATCTCCCCTTGAAATACCTCAGCTAGCTGTACTGTTGAAGCTCTGAGGTTGTTAACCTGGCTAAGATCTGACAGATTCCCTTCTAGAGCCTGAGGGCAGTAAGTATCAGGCTTCACAGCCACTTGCTGGGGCAGTCCTGCAAGCACGTACCTGAGGCAGTTTTGTGTCATTGATGTCCCAGCTCAGTATCTCTTCGTCTTCAGGATCAAAGTCGTCCAGTTCCATGATAAGGTCGGCTCAGCACAGGCTCCTCCCAACTCAAACTGTCAAAGATGTCTCGAGCACTCCCAGTCTCAGAACTTGGTCCACAAAAGCAGCCGAAGGGCTTGTTTTTCAAAGCTAAGTAAATGAATGATAATAACACAGATGATTTAAGAGATTAAAAACTTGAAGCCAGATGTGGTGACTTCATACCCTAGAAACAGAGGCAGGAAGATTGCCACGAGTTCAGGGCCAGCCTAAGTTACAATGTGAGACTGTCTCAAAAGAGGGAGGTGGGGGCTTAGGAGGTAATGGCACTTGCTACTAAGCCTGAAGATCTGAATTCAGGTCCTGGAACCCAAATGGTAGAAGGAGAGAACCCATAAGCTGTCCTCTGACTTCTGCATGTATGTGTGCGTGCGTGCACTCACATACATCAATAAATGTTAAAAAAAAAAAAGAAAAAAGAAAAAAGACACAACAAAGTAAAACAATACAGAAAAAAAAAATCCATTTATCACCTGTCTGCCAGGAATAGCAATTTCACTGACATTTTTGCAAGTACCAACTGCTAATGAAAAAAATAAACTGCTGAGCAGTGGTGGCGCACGCCTTTAATCCCAGCACTTGGGAGGCAGAGGGAGGTGGATTTCTGAGTTCGAGAGTTCGAGGCCAGCCTGGTCTACAGAGTGAGTTCCAGGACAGCCAGGGCTGCACAGAGAAACCCTGTCTCGAAAAAACAAACAAAAAACAACAACAACAACAAAAAAAACCCCTGCAGAATCCAGTAGCACTTGCTACAGTAGACTTGTCTGGAGTTCCAATTCTCTACCTTCATCCTCACCTTTATTTTCATCTTCATTGCTAGACCTCAGTCACAAGGGCCTTGGGAGCCATTACTACCCACAGCCACCCATTTCTACATAAAGTGTATACATTTACATAAAGAGACACAGCTAGCCTAGGATCTATGCCCTTTAGATTAACTAATATGTTCATAGATAAATCCCGTGTACTGTTCGTCACCTTTCCAAGATCAGCTAGGGCCCTGTAGTAACAACCCTCTGTTCCCCAAACTATGAAGTCCCTTCCTCTCTGCAAACACTGGCATTCAAGACTAAATGTGAAAGAGGCCTCTTCTCTGTCTTTCTTAGTTTTGTTTCCGGGCTGAGGTGTTTCTGGGGCTAAGGATGGACGCTGGGGCTTACGCTGAACCACCGAGACACTACCGCAGCTCCTTGTCTGTAACTTCTAAGTAAATCTCGATGTTTAGAAAAAAATTATTGAGCTGCTGGGAAAAAAAAATGGTTGCCACCCCAATTCAGAGACAGCTTACAGGACAAGTAGAGAAGTATATCAAGTTCCCTGATGCAGCCCTAACTCTGCCAGTCCAAACTTGCGATTAGAATGGGTATGACCCACGACGCACTTGACATAAAACGGAACAGGCTTTTTTAAAACGTTGAAAAACAACATTTATATCGTCAGAACCTAAAAATGCTGTTCTTAGCCCAGGCTAGATACTTGATTTTAAATTAAGAGCAGAGGAATAAAAATTCTACTCCCAATAAGTACAGTAATTTTTAAAACTTTAAAGAGACTTTTCTCAGACATGTACTTTTACAAAGTGAGTGAGGATTAATTTGGTATTTCACTAAAAATGAAGAACAAGACATTGGGGGAAAAACTGCTTTACCCTGTCAGTAAGTAAACTCAATCTTTCCCCAGGATTAAAAGAAAAGATCTAATTTTATGAAGACTTCTTTTTCTTTGGTAGTGACCAACACTGAACGTCATCATTTTTATAGACCATGAACTAGAACGAATAAAGCAGTGCGCAGGCTGTGGCCGTGGCCACACAACTCACCCTCCCCACCTCCAGTGCTCCGGAGTCCTTCCTTCTTGTCCAGCTTCTTGTGCAGGTGTCATGCAAGTGTCAGCTCTGGCTCAAGTCCTGCAAGTTCTGCTCATTTCTAAGTGGCCGCTGTTCCCTCCTCCAGGTCAGGGTACACTATGCTAATGACTCTGGCAACTGTCCAATCAAAATCAAGATGCTTTCAGCCAGGGACAGGTAGGAGCAGCCCAGCTCCTCTGGGGTGCTAGCCATGTGATGAATATTCTATGGTGCGCTTCTGAACTTTCCTCTCCTTTATGCTAAGAGGACATCTAACTTAAAAGGATGTTGAAAAAAAATGAAAAGAAATACAGATTCCTTCCCCCGCCACCATAGTTTTATAGGTTGAATCCAAGAGCGACTGTTTTACAGTAGATGTATTTTATCCTGCCTGTGTGTGAGCGAGAAGGCAGACAGAGAGACAGACACATGGCAGTGCAAGCCAAGGAAATTGCTGAGATAGTTTTTAGACAGCTAACAGTCCTAACCAGAAACACTGAAAGTCATCCCTAATTCTAAGTGTATCAATCCTTACAATGAATCTAGTTCTTCTTCAAGACATCCTCCAGAGTTCTCTCTAGAGATAGCCTCAGAACTCCAGGTGAGCTCAGCTCCTGGGCTGAATTCCAGGTAGTCTGCTGGGCTTCAGAGATATAACAAAGGAATTAAAGACATCAAGAAATTCTGTGTAGCTCAGGGTGGTAAGGGCAGGGCTGTAACTTCAGGGAGTGTCTCTGCAAATTCAAGGCCAACCTGAGCTAAACAGTAACCCCCAGCCCCCCTCAAACTCCCCCCAGATCTTTTTCCACTTCCATATCTAAATATGACCCATCTGACCCATCTGATATAGCTATCCGATACCTTCCAATAATGTTCTGAAACACATGACTTCTCATTTCCATGGTATTCCAGAACCCTCCTTAACCATATCACTTACAGTAACATTTTTTTTCTAATTACAAAATAAAATCCACATCTTTTTTTCTTTTCTTTTTTTGTCATTGTTGCTAATTCACATTGCAGTCTTTCAGTAGATTTCCGAGACTGCATTTTGGTCACACACCTTCAAACTTTTGCTTTTTTTCTGCATATACTAATGTAGACACTGTTTGCTTAGTTTGTGGAATTGCCTCCTCTTTCTTGTTGGTGTGAATCATTCTGGCTTACCAGCTACTCTGAAGTTTTTTTTTTCCTTCACAGGAAGCTCCTGCTGGGTTCCAGCTCCAGAACCAGAGCTATTTCTGTCCCAAGGGCAGGTTCTAGCCAGTGAGCACCATACCCTAAGGCTGAGGTCTCAACTTACCGCATCCTGACTTCTGCTTACTGGCTCTGTGAATTCTTTGGGTTTGTTTATTGATTGGTTTGTTAATTTTTGAGATGGGAGTGCCTCATATAGACCAGGATGATCTTAGAATTACTGTGTAGCAGAAGGTCACTTGAAATTCCTGGTCCTCCTGCCTTTTTCTCTCAACTGTTAGGATTACAGAGAGCAGCACACATAGTGTTTTAGTGTGATCAATAACAGTGATAACTATAGCAACTTCCTTTGACTGAATTCTTACAATGAACCAGAGGCTGTGCTGGACATTACCCTAAATTACACACGATGCTCATAGTCCCTGTGTCACTGCTATTCCTTTTCCCTAGGCATGGCCACCATGCTCAGCTAGGAACTATTCTAACATGTCCTCTTCACAAAGAAGGAAATCAAGCCTCGAAGAGACAAAGCTGTAGTTAAGCACCACAGACAGCCGATGTTGGCCAGGGTCAATGGTCTTTGTCTTGCTCCCGTGCAGGCAGAAGTCTCTGTGTCTCTTTTCCATTTTTGCCTCCTCCCTGGACAGGGGACCCTGCCCCCTAAGCAATGTGGATTTCAGAACCACCTGTGGAGTAGCGGGCCTTACCCCCATGCTTCCTCTCCCAACCCCTGTCAGTCTGCCACCAGTCTGTGGGGATCTTTCTGGCTGATTTCATGGTATACTAGTAATGCTCTAGGGATTGGAGGTGAGATAACATTTGTTTGTGTGGGACTGTCTCATGCACCAACTCCTAGACGTTACATTCTGGTAACATCCCCTCTCTGTGGCATTCATAACCCAGGCATCGGCCATGTTTGAAATTGTCAAAGAAAGAAAGCCGGAGAGAGAGTCATATCGTACTGCCTTTCTCTGGGTCAGGACCTCTCTGTACTAAGGCCATCTCAGTACTGAGGGTTCTGCGGACCTATGGCCTCTGATTTCTACCTTATGGGTGGACTTCTTCCACACTTACAATGTTCCTTTCAGAATCTATCCCAGTTAGTGTTCCAGAGTCCAATTCCCCAGTTCGGCCATGCCGCATCTCTTTACTGAGAAGTTTTTGTAACACTCATTGTGTGTTAGACATCATATCAATCATTTAATCCTTACCACTGCCTCAGGAAATAGACTTTATTAAGCTATATTAGTTGAAATTATAAAGAGGGTATTAAATAAGGCTCTAAAAGACCCTGGTCAAAGGATGAATATCCACTAGAGAAGGGTGACGTTAGAAATCCTATCTTGGACTATGGAACAAAGCTGCCCCTCATTCCGGTTCCTTCTGGAATCAGCTTTACCCCACCTCCTTCCTCCTCACCATATTTGAGAAAGCCACCTTCTCCCCCAGTCCTCAAGGCTATCAGTTAGAACTTTCTGTCCCATCTGGCATGGGACCCAACCTGACCCAGCTTTTCCCTGGAATTTTCCAAATTAGAGGTGGAGAAAATGAGTCTTTTGTCTCAGATGCAAATGGAAGGTTGACCTCAGCCCTCCAGATGTACATCTCTGCTACACCACAGCATCTAAAAAGACAGAGCCAGCCAGAAGAAAGGAATGGCCTAGGAGGGGAGCAGAAAGCCTGGACAGCAACCTGAGGCCGGCTCCAGTCCTCAGGCATGCCATGGGTGACACAATAAATGTTTTGCATACCTTCAACCCTTTGAACTGGGTTTTTCAACACACACCTGAGAGGGTCTCTGAACATACCCTCAGCTCCTAGTCCAGGAGTCTGGGGCTCACACATACTTCAAAACAAACCTCTCTCCTTGGTCATTATGAGTCTAAAGGTGAGACTGGAAGGGTTTGTATGCCATCCCTTAATATTAGGAAAGGTTTTGGGAAGTCTCACCCCACACAGAGTGAAGAACACAGAGATGGACCATACTGTCAGCCTCTTAGACACCTAACTCCTGCTCAGTCCAGAGAGAATCAAGGGCTGGCCCAAA